ATGCTCTTTTCATCATTCAGATGATTAGCATTTCTAAGATACATGAATGGCTGGGTTCATTCCCAGTAGTGTTAGAAATTATATTTGCTCTTTCTTCTTTTTAAATTGTGCATATTTAAGGTATGCAGTATGATGTTTTGATATACATAGAATGGTTATTATACAAACAATTAACATACATGTTCACAATTCACATATCAATTCACAAAAGAATTCTAACATACTCTTAAAAATAGGTAGTTCTTTTAACCTATATGAAAGCAGAGAAAAATTTAAAAGCCATTCATTTTTTCTTTTTTTTTTTTTTTGTACTGGGGATCAAACTCAGGACCTTGTGCCTGCAAGGCAGGCATGGTGCCACTATGCCAAATCCCTGGTCCCATTTCTTCTTTATTGTGCCAGTTAAACATCCATATCAAACTCCGACAAAGATTTCATCCCCCCAAATACTGGAGACTAGTCATACTTAGTAGTATCTTAAATTATATATGGGCAAACAGAATCCAGTTTTTCATGAAGAAAGACAATGATAACACAATAAAGGAATTATCATAACTAAATAAAATTTATTCTAGAAATGCAGGCTCTTTTCTGTATTCAATATTTTTTAAAATTCATAGAATTCATCATATTAATATTCCTCTAAAGAGGAAAAAATACATGATACTCCATGAATGTGAACTCTAACATCTTTTTAATTAAAATAAAATGATCCAACGAGGGCTAGGTGCTTTACATGGTAAATGTACGTATTTGTATCTCAGTCTCCAATCTGACCTCTTGTTTAATGAGAAAATGAAAGGTATTTCCACTGAAGGCCAGAACAGGCAGAAACACCTCTTATAATCTGTTCTACACTGTACTGAATTTAAATTGAACTAACAAGCAGACAAGAGGAAAAAAACTATAAAAATTTGAAAGGAGGAGGCAAAACTATTACTACTTGACAATTTATTCATTCCAGAAATATTTATGGGGTCCTGCTATAATCTAGGTATTGGTAAAAAAAAAAAAAAAACTAAGGTTTTACTTTGTGATCTTACATTCTAGTAATACACTATTTTGTGTTTGTATATCTAGAAATGTAAGGGTATCGAGTGAAAACTATAAATAATATGAAATTTTAATTCGGAATTAAAGAAAATGTGGCATTTACACTCAGTGGAGTACCACTCTTCCATAAAGAAGAATAGTCTTGAGTCATTTGTTGAAAAGTGGATGCACCTTGAGAGCGTAATGTTAAGTGAGACCAGATACACAAGCTTAAGTATCACATGGTTCCTTTTATATGAGAAGCCCAGAGTAAAAATAAAGAGAAAAATAAAAGATAACAAGAAGGAGGGAGATAGATTATTCTCAAAGGGGAAGAAGATCAAAGATGGGGGAGAGGAATAAGGGAAGGAAAGAGGATGCAAAAAAGGAATTGGAGTGTGTTGTGTACATGTACGAACTCCACATAAGGAGTATCAGTGCTGTGTACTGCCAAGATGCACTCCTCACAAAGGGAAGAGAATCAAAAGAAATGGGTGGGAGCCGGGGATGTAGCTCAGTGGTTCCGCCACCTGCCTCACAAGCCCAAGGTCCAGAGTTTGATTCCCGGTACCAAAAAAAAAAAAAAAAAAGGAAAAGAAATGGGTGGAAGGACAGGCAGGGAAGGGAAAGTAGGTGAAAAAGGAATTAAGATGTGTTATGTACATACACCAACTTCCCACAAGAAATGTAAACATTGTGTACTGCAAACATGTACTGATAAACTAAAAATTTTTAAAAAACCCATTGGCTTTCATATCTATGCAAACTATAGGCGATTAAAAATGATAAGAAAATGTATTATTTACAATAGAAACAAACAAAATCCCTAGGAATAAACATGAGATATGTGCAATATCTATATGAGGCAAGTTTTCAAACATTTTTAAAGGACATAAAGACAAATTGAAGAAGAATGTTAATTCACCTTATATTAACTTAGGAAGTTGGTGTGATACTAAAATTACCAGCATACTTGCTTGTATGACCAATTTGTTTATTTTGAAAATAGGCTATTTCATGTAGAAAAATAAAGATTTCTGAGAAAACTAACTGGATATTAATGGTACATGAATAATAAATCAATTAAAGAGTAGACTATTATTTCAGTGAGGATTAGATGAATAATAGTATTGGGATATTGGGTAGCCATCAGGAAAAGTTAGATTCATACCTCACACTGAATCTCTCACATGTTTCAAATGCACTAAAGATTTGAATAAATCAAACTCCTACATGTATTAGAAGAAAACCTGGGATAATTTTTTGAACATTTAGACTAAAGATGGCTTTTCTAATTATGACTCAGAATTGAGAGGCTATTTTAGAGGAGACTGGTAAATTCAAATGTATATTTTAAGCAAACTTCTGCAAGTAAAACAAGCAAAAACACCCTAAGCAAATTCTAAAGCGCAAATGGCATACTGGTAGAAAGTGTGCAACTCATAGCATTAAGGTTTATAGCCCTAAAATATAAAATCCTACAAATCAATAAAGGAAATATCATCAAATCAAGAAAAATATAGGCAGTGGACATGAGCATACTCTTTACAAAAAAGGAAGTACAAAGCATTTTTAAAAACATCTGAAAAGATGCTTTTTTCATAAAAAGAAACAATGAAAACTATGCTGGGGTACAATTTTTGTATATCAGACTGGAAAATGCAAAAAATGTCATATGCTCCATTGAGATGGCTTTGGAAAATGGGTGCTCTTGCTTGTGAGTATAAATTCATAAGAGTACCAGTGAGAGTAATTTTTATATCAAAATAAGTTACAGGAAAAAAAATAAGTTACAGAATCATAGACCTCTTTGATCTACAATTTTTTTATTCCAGGAATTTATTCCACAGATCAATCTGTTCAAAATGACCAATGGCAAGCTTATTTATTGCACCCTTATTTATTGCAGAGGTTTGGATGCTATGTTAATGTCTACTAATAGTAGAATGTGTAAGTAAACCATACTATATTCCTCCAGTTCTACAAAAGAATGAGGGCATTTTCTGAATAGTGATATGGAAATATTCCAAGGATATATTGTAAAGCAAAAAAATCCAAAGTCCAGAGCAAAGTTCATAATATGCAACCATTTGTGTGATCAGGGTGGGGATATAAAAATGTATTTTGCTCAGACTTATGTAATCAGTTTTGCTTATAGTTACATGAGGTAACTCTGGAAGGAAACTGATTTATAACTATGGTTACCTGTTAAGAAAGGGGAAAGAGGGGCTGAGAGAACAGGAAACAAAGTTGGAAGGTGAAACTTTAGACCTTTTTTTTTTTTTTGGTACCAGGAATCAAACTCGGGACCTTGCGCTTGCAAAGCAGGCGGTGGAACCACTGAGCTAAATCCCTGGCCCCTGATCATTTTTTAATTTGTGACCCCTTTGTTTCCTTTATTAATGAACTTAGAAAATAGATTAATATTAAAAATGAATTTCTCCAGAAAAATGGTATAGCCAACATATGTTGTAGGCAGCGAGGGTTCTTGTTCTCAGTTTTGATGAGGAGAGATATGAAAGTGTAGACTGCATCATCACTGGTAAAAAGAACTCAAATAACATTTACAGGCACAAGGTCAGTACAATTTGTATCCTAAGGCCCTTTGCTGTGTTTACTGGGTGTCTGAGTGTCCTCGTCAGTTCAGACTGCTGTGACAGAATACAATAATCTGGGTGGCTTAAATAGAGAACTTTTATTTCTCACACTTCTAGAGTCTGGAAATCTGAGAGCCAGGTGCCAGCATGGTCTAGTTCTTAGTAAAAGTCCTCTTCTTCACATGGCAGAGAGAGGGGAGGTCAGCTCTCTGGTGTGTCTTCTTACAAGGCCACTAATACCATCAGGAGTGCTCCATCTTCATGACCTCCAAAATCCATCACACTGGGAAGTAGTTTCAACATACGAATTTTGGGTGGCACACACCCGTTGAGTTGCTTGAGATGCTTTTTAGAATGGTGTCACATGTGCATTCCACCCTTATGACCTGGGGGCTGATCCACCTGCCTTCTCTCTACTCCCCTCTCAGCTATTTCCCTGATCATTAATATTAAAACACAGAATAAATAAAGGAATGGAAGTCACGCAGCTTAGTTTTATTCTATAGCAGATCTCCCTTACCTGATCATTGCTGGGATACCTTTGAACATAATTGAGAGAAAGGAGAAAGAGAAGAGAACTGACATTTGCTCAATTTTATGTACATTTGCACATTTAGTTCTTACCAAAATCCCATTTAGGTTGACTAACAACATTTATTTTTATAGATGTGGAAACTGAGGCTCAGGGAAGTCAGTGGAGTAAGGAAATGGACCTTTTGCTACTTGTTTCAGTACCATCTCTATCCACTTTACCAAATTTGCTTTTTCAAGTAATGCATAGTCTTAGTAAAAGACTTAATGTATGATCCAGTTGAAAGCAGTAACTAAGAAAAAGAATACATGAAAAATATGTGTAGGATGGGAAAATGGAGGCAGAGAAAACGTGTTTAGTATAAGGGTTCCTTAGGCTGAAGTGAGGTAGTTTGGAATTTTTCTGTGCTTTTTGTCTGTCCTGCATTATCCAGATATGTAATGGGCGAGTCTGACTTTTTTTTTCTCGAGAAAGTGAAGTACCTAAATGATGCCTCTTTGCAAATTCTCCTTGACTAGACCCCCTTTCCTTGAGGGCTGATGGGGCTGACTCAGCCACTTGGCTGTTCCATCAAACTGGGTTGCCACTTAGGAAGCACATAGCTGATCAGGAGATCAGCTTTACAGAGAGATTCATGCCTTTTCATCACATTTCCTAATGAGTGATTATTTATGTTCTGTTAATGTTAGGCCTAGGCCCTCATGGTAAGTAGAGAAATCTCAATAGCAAATAATAAACATAGAAGAAAAAAACCAAACTCAGATATACACAAGGGCAGATCTGTTTATGGTGAAAGTGAGACTGGATTGGAAATGATTTTCCTGCACTGTGTTTCATAGCATCCAGATGAGAAGAGATTGGAAGGCCTCTCCAAGCAGCTGGACTGGGATGTTCGAAGCATTCAGCGCTGGTTTCGGCAAAGACGCAACCAGGAGAAGCCCAGCACCCTGACGAGATTCTGTGAGAGCATGTAAGTCGCTTTTCTTTCCTTTCTGAAAGAAAAACCTGCCTCTGTGTTCATGCTGTCCCTGAGGTGAAAAATTAACAGATCTGTACAGGCTCTAGCAACCCTTTATAAAGCATGCCATCTGGTAGGAACATAATTGGGGAAAAATAGGGGACAGTCGGGTATAAGGATCTGCAAATTCCACTTCGGATCCAGTAAATGGAGCTCACTTCCTAATGATGATCTGCCAAATTAAGTAGATTATGAGGACTTTCCGTGGTATTTTCACCATCCATATTTGAAATGTAGCATTAAAAGCCTTTACTTTTACCTGTGATGGTAGTTTGAATTTTAATAGAAGGGAATTCATCAAGGCGTGTTTTTCCATTGAGAAGAACTGAGATATTAGGGTATGTTATTAGAGGGTCAAAACAATGTCCTACATTTCTGGAGATTTGAGAAATGGCTATTGTGTTCTATTCCTGGGGAAGTTAAATGAAGCATTTCTTGAAGGTAGGGGATAGAATGAAAGTCTCTTCTATTTCTGAAATAGGAACTTCAGAATGTGTAAATTATATGTCAGAAAAGCTGTTACAAATAATAAAAGACCTCAAAGTGATATGTTAAGATAAAGTTACTCAATACACTTAGAAAAATCAGAAGAAGAAATATTGAAGCCTCGAGCACATCCCCTACAAAGCGGTGAGTGTGCCTAGGTCAGTGCCTGACCTAGGATATGACTATTCCTTTGTCTAATAGCTCTTTCTCTAGGCGGTGAGCTTTCCCGACACCTGGTTGTTTGCACAGCAGTGCTGTCAGTGAGCTCTCTTCGTTGCAGGCCCTTTCCATTTGGGGTTAGACTTGCATTTTCAAGTTTGGCTTCAATTAGGCCAAAAAAAGTATTTTAGCAATTGCAATCTAAGACCTAGAGGGAAACTTAATATTATAGGAGAATGAATGGGACAGAATGAGATCGTAAATTCCTGGGGCTGTGTAAAAATAAAACTCACGAATAGCATCTTCACGAGGTCAGAATTTTTATAAAATCTAGAAAAACCACCAAGAAGATACAATCTGTGAAACCCTTCCTGTAATTAAATTCAGTAGCAGTTTATGGAAGGATTTATGGGCCCGGGTCCCTGTTCAAAAGCTGGAATTGTTTCCTTAAGGCACCATGCCACATATACAAAGGGCCTGGGCCCCATCATTGAGCCAGGAGTCTGAACAGGCCCCACATGCTTGAATTCACATGCTCCCTTTCCCCCCTCCAATTTGGTTACTCAGTGCTGGCCCCTTCTGAACTATACTGAGTTGAAGGTCATTATTTTCAAGTATCAATGTGTACAGGCATTAGTCATCTGGGGATCTTGGTACAGTGCAGGTACTGATTCAGTTGGTCTGGGATGGCAGCTGAAATTCTCCTCCTCCTCTCTCCACTCTTCCTCTTCATCATCCTCCTCCTCTTTCTTCTTTTTGAAAAATTAATTCTTTTGGTACACTTTTGATATACATAATGATCACATTCCTCATAGGGAATTAGTACCTGTACATAATATGTCTTGATTCTTCTTTTTTCCCCAATGCCCTCCCCTCCTTCTTTACAGAAGCTTTGTTTCCATTTTTTCCTTTTCCCTCCTTTCCCTTCTCCTCTCTCCTCCATCGTTCCCCTTTCCATTTGAACATTTTCTTCCTACTCCCTCATATCTATCATCCATTTTAATCATCACTGTTTTTTGTTTTGGTAGGACTAGGGATTGAACCCAGAGTTTTCTCACTGATATACATCCTCAGCATCTCCTTTTTTCCATTTTGAGACAAGTTCTTATGAAATCACCCAGGCTGGGCTTGAACTTGGAATCCTTAGCCTTCCAAAGTGCTTGGTGTACAGTGGTGTGCCACCACACCCACCTGAGATTCTGCATTTTTAACAAGGTTACAGTTAAAAATGGTGGTTCATGGACTGCATTTTGAATAGCAAGGATCAACACTAGACTCATTTCTACGTTTTTTCCCTGAATTCAACTGGCCTTTACCTACAAACCCAAATAAACAGAACAGTCATAGTCACAGTCAATTGTAAATATTTCTAAATGATTGCTAGAGCCATGGCAATGTGGATGCACAGTGCTGGGGAGTGAACCAGTGTATGAAGTATACATTATGCTCTTTTGCCCGGGAAGCTTATAACAGGGGCAAAGAGGCAAGACCTAATATCTGAGCATGTGTGGGTTGATGATAGATATTTTTAAAAAGTGGTTACGTTTATTAAACAACTAATGTGGACAGTCAGTGTCTAATGATTAAAGGAAAAAAAAAGTCAACCATGGGTTGGAGGCACACAGGAGTTGCTGGAAGTAGCCCTGAATCAATGCCAGTGGCCTTTGACCACTCTGTTGCATGAGATAGTGTCAGTGAACTCTTGTTTTGACTCTCTCTTCCTTGGCTTTGGGGTTGGCAGTAGATTCTTCTGCTTTCCCAAGGACTTTTGTCTGCATTATTTATTCAGCATTTCTCTGTGGTCTTTATTGGGCTACTTCTCCAGATTTAGTTTTCAAACTCTTAGTTTTCTTACTCTGTCTTCCGTTTTCTGTATAGAAGTCATTTCCTCTCACCAACCTCTACCGAAGCCCTGTGCCTAGTGCAGGCATTCCCCTGAGGCATTTCTCTGCTGTTTCCAGCTGGCACCTCTGATTTACTTCCAGTCTCCTTGTACTCTTGTATTTGATGCCTCTGTTTTGTATAAGACGGAAAACTCAAACCAGTTGCCCACTGAGTTCCAAGAATTCTTTGTAAATCCACCACTACAGGCAGGTCCTGTTTGTTCTTGTAGGTCTCCTTGCCTCTCATTCTCAGAGGCATTTTGCTTGCTACACCCTTTCCCCAAGAACCCAAACATTATCCTCAAGTTCTACTATTCCCACATTCTGGTGCCTTGAAACTGATTTTTCTCCAACTCCAAAGTCTTAGTCTCCCAGGCTGAGAACTAGTCTGGCCTTTGCCTGTTTGACGTCAGTCCTTCAAATGACCTCTTGATTCCAGAGGGCTGTGTTTTCACTGTGTGTACCTTCTTCCTTCCCGTTGGACTCGTGCGTTGTCCCTGTCCCGGAACACCTACTTCCTCTGCTTGTCCGCACGGCCCCTACCCATTCCTCAGATCCCAGCCCTCTCTGGAGTGTGACCTGATGTTGGATCTGTGAGCACAACTTCTGCCCTCAGGGACAAATAGTAATTACCAATGATTTCATATTAAGTCGCATGGTGTTTTATGTGGTTCCTTAACTGTTTTCTTATGGTGGCCATCTGTTCCACCCCAATTATGTCATTAGTGCTTGCTGAAGAGCACAGAGCCTGTCGCTTGTCCTTGTGTCCTTTTTTTGAGACAGAGTCTCATTATTAGTTTGGGCTGACCTTGAACTCACTATGCAGTACTCTTAGCAAACCAAACTCTTAGCCATCCTCCTGCCTCAGCCTCCCAAGTGCTGGGATTACAGGCATGTGCCACCACACTTGGCTTCTTGTGTCTTTTTAAAAAAAATTTTAGTTTATTAGTATATCCTTCTTAGCCTTTACCGTAAATACAACCTCTACCAAAAAAGTGTTTATCAAATAACTGTGTGTTAAAATGGCTTCGTTCTTAAAGGAGCTGCTGACCTCACTTGCCATTTGTCCCACAACTGAATTGTGCCTGCTGTACAGTGACTTAGCATAAAATCTCAGCAGTCTGGGAGGCCAAGGCAGAAGAAGGAGGATCACAGGTTTGAGCCTAGCCTGACCAACTTAGTGACTTAGTGAGATTCTGTCTAAAAAAAAAAAAGGGCTGGGAATGTAGCTCAATGTGAAGGTCCTGGGTTCAATCTCCTGTACTAATTTGGGGAGTGTAGATACAGGACCAAAGTGCAAAAAATCAGTAGTTTTTAAAAACTATATTAATAGTTTTTGCTTAAGAAAATAGAATCCCTTAAGGGAATTATGTTTCATCTTTCATCAGTGTGGATAGCACCAGTGTGCATGCCCAGCAGTGCTTGCGAGCATCTGCCAGTGTGCCTGATCTTTGGCACGTCCGTTTAATGCAGACGGATCGAGTGGAAGTTGCTCGCTGAGTAATGTGCTGAAATATTGATGCGAGTTTTTTCCCTCTTGCTTGATGTCAGTCATTCACAGCTGTGTCAGTTTTGATAACTCTTTCTTCCAGAAACGTTTAAATCCTCACTGGCAACTGAAATAGAGTTTTTCAAGAGAGAGAGGGAGAGAGAGCAAGCAAAAAATTTATGAAAATGAAATGTTACGTCTTGAGACATTTGAGGAGAAACTGGTTCAGAATGGAAGCCTGCACCACCCTTTGGGACCATCCTGAAATGATGCCATCCTTCTCCAACAACTGTAGCAGAGCTTTATGTTTTATCGTTCAGGATAATATAAAATAAGCAATGTGTGCAATAAAAATATCCACAGGGTGAAACAGAAAGAAACAGAGAAAGTTACCAGAATAAGTGGCTTTCTTGTCAGTTGTGCCCAACCTATGCTCATCAGTTTTGAATATCATGTAGTACATTTAATAGCAGATATGATAGAGTAAATATTTATATTTGGCTTTCATTTAAGCAGTCTCCAGTTGACCAGAAGGGTGACTCTCCTATATGATAGCCTTAACATATATTATCGTCTATATTCCACAATGCAGATTAGTACTAATTTATTTGAACTGAAGCTTTCTCCACATGGTACTGAAGTTATAGAGCCTTATGTTGCATTTGATGAGGTGTTGAGATTCCCTTTTCTTTAGGAATTCCATTTTAGAGTTGATATGGACTAAAATTATTCCCAAATGACTGCCATATTTAGATACTTTTGTACAGCCGCAGAACCTTTTGAAATTGTGATCATACTTCTGCAGAGAAGCTTTGTGATTTTCTTCATTTGTGATTTTCTTCATTTGTGATTCACTTGAATTTAGGATAATTCATCAACTGGAAGCAAATGGCTTGAACAGTTGCCCTTAAGCCAACAGTTCAGGCATTGTGAAT